GGATATGGGAAAAGGGAAAAACAAAGAAGGTGAAGATGAAGAAGAAGAAGCAGAGGAAGAAATACAAGAGGCAGTAGAAGAACAGAAAATGGAAATTGAAGAGGAAGGACCAGAGACAAAAGAAGAAAACGGAAATATCATAGGACCAGACATTAGAGTGGGAGAAATGGGAACATACGAAGAAAGGACAAGTGAGGGAAAAAAGGAGGGACAGCCAAGAGAGGTGCAAAGAAAACCAAGACATACATGCGAACTGGAGCTAGCAGCAGGCACGGAATCAGCAAAAATGCTCGAGATTGTAGAGGAAACATATATAGCCTTTGACTCTTTTCTGGGGGTAAGAGTGGGAAGAGAAACAGCGGGAAAAAAGAAAGCAATTATTGCTATTTTTGGTAATCTCATTGATATGCAGGAGGCATGCGACATTAACTTTGGTACAGACGAAAATAGAGAACACCTAACCCCGGTAGAACAAAGGGAGCATCAATCAGAAAAGAAAAATACAGTGATAGTCAGGGACATCCCCCTTTCGACAAGTGAGAAGGCAATCAAGACAACATTAAGAAAGTTTGGTGATATCCATAATATAGATATTCGACTAGTGGAAATGTGGTTAACAGCAATAGTGACTTTTAAGGAAGAAAGAGACGCACAACTTTTAGCTGAGATGTGGTCAATTCCATTTGAAAAAGAATACCTGAGAATATTTCCAAAATGGGAAGAGAAAGAGGAACTAGCAAGAAGATCCAAATACGTGCTTAAATTGGCAGGATTGCCAGCAGGTACTACTGCATACGATTTAAAGGAAATAGCAAAAGAAATTAAGGGGAAAACCCTATACATTCCAAGAACAGGCAGATACTTTAGGGAGAGATTTGCATATATAGCATTCGAAACAGAAGACCAATTAAAAGAGGCAGAGAAACAAACCTTCAAATTGAGTAGGACAACAATCAATTTTGTGGAGCAATATAAAAGATTATGCTATAAGTGTGGACAGAGTAGACATATCGCTTTTCAATGTGAGAAAGTGAGAATCCAAAGAGATAGGTCGATCGCCCAAGCAAAATTTGAATCAATCCAATCAAGATTCAGAAAGGGACCAGAAAAAGAAGCACCAATATCTTTCGCAGAGATTCTGAGAAAATGGAGCAGATTCAGATCAGTATACAAAAAAGAAAATGGAGAATAGGAAGGAATCAGAAAGCGATTGAACAGTTTAGAAGGAAAAATCAAGAGCATGGAAGACAAAATCAATACCCTATGGAGTTGGTGGATGCGAATCAAGAAGAACAAAAAGAAATAGAGCACAGCAGAAAAAGAAAAGAAGAACAGCAAACACAATACCAGGATGCAGAGGAAATGAACATCGAGGAAAATGAAATCCCTTTGGCAATATACAAGGCAATCAATGATGAGATAGCAGAAAGACAAAATAAACTGGAGAAACAAATTGAGCAAATGGGAAGAATGCTAACCGAATTGTTGGAAAATGGTCAGGCAGCAATCGCAAAAAAGAAACAGCAGTTGCAAAAACAATAGGGAAAGAATCACACCATAACAATTATAACAAAATATGACATTACAACAAGAAAACAACAAAAATAACAAAAACATCAACATGTATAAGGAAAGAAGAACAAATATGGAAAATATAAGAATTGGGACAATAAATATGAATGGATTAAATGAAGAGTTTAAAAAGCAACAACTGCAAAACTATTACCATCAGAGTGACATAACTATAATGGGAATATCAGATACCAAATCCAAAAAAACAACAAATAAAAAAACAATGGGAGACAATAAATACAAGACATTTTGGGAACATACAGAAAAACATTCAGGAGGAGTAGGAAAGAAGTATGAAATAAAGAAAAACTGTTCCTAAATTGAAATATTCCTTTTTAAACTATATAATAGACACTGTTCAAAAAGAAAAAAACTAATTAAATCTTACTTGAATTCAGTACTCACTGCAAGAAAAAAAGATGTCAAAGTTCCTAAAAAATAGGAAAAGTGGAAAAGTCATCTAGAAAGCATGAGCAATAAAAAGAGAAAGCAAAAAAGAATTAGAAAGAGTACCATCAGCCAAGTCAATAATATATGTCTCAAGGAAGCTTTACTTTACTTATCTTTGACATAATGTAAGCCTGCTGGCAGAAGCAACAGACTCATCAAAAATAATCTCAATAATATATTTAATATTATATCTCACTTAACATTTATGCCCCTAAATTTGGTACCAATTAAGAATTATAGTTTTGAAGTATTTACTAGAGATATATACATGTAAAGAATTGTTATCTATACAGTACATAAGCTAAAGATATGATGTGAAAAGATAATTTATTAAGTACTAATATGTGTTTTTGTAGTAGTACTTTTACCTCCTATATAATCCCACCTGATATATAGATTCCATTTCTCATATAAAGTTTATATTATGTTCCTTTTGAAGGAACATAATTATTTATTCATTATTTTAATAGGGACATAATTCAAAAAACATTTGAATCAAGTGGTCTAAATTGTAAAAAATCTTTGTAAATAGTTTTTTTTTGATCTTATATTTAAAAAAAACTTTTTAATAGTGAGAGACATTTAAATTATGTCCTTGCTTTTAATTTAGGAACCCATTTTTATTCTCAACCTTGTTATTTTTATTATTTCTGCTTGTTCAATTATTTCAATTATTTTTACTTGTTCTGTTCAATCAGTTATTTTTGTTATTTTTGTTATTTTTATTATTTCTATTATTTCTTTTATTTGTTTTTACCACTAGAAAAATATATAAATGATATAATATAAAGTTGAACAAAAAGAAAACCAATAACTAGAAAAAAAATAAAAAAATATTTACTGATAAAAATTATTATACTTATTGCACTGTTCCCAATTAATTAAATCTCTTCAAATCATCAAAACTTGTCAAATCTATATCTTTTTTCTGCCTATTACCTCTTGTAAAATTCATAATCCATATATTAGAGTGTTGCAAAGTCAAGGTTTTGTAACATGTTAGTTTAAACTCTAATCCATGACAATATATAAATATCAACCCTTGAAAAAGATCATTCCTAGTAATAAAGCGTAATTTTTCATGACTATAAAATCTGAAAAGATGAATTCCAATATACTGAGATAGAATTGTGACATAATTTTAATATATGGGAAATGAAATAAAATATAAAGTTTAAATTTAAGCTTTTTTAAGTTTTTTTTTAAGTTTTCAGATTTTGTTTTTTTTTCGGATTTTGTTTTTTTTTCGGGTTTTGTTTTTCTTTCAGATTTTGTTTTTTTTTTCAGGTTTTGGTTTTTTTTGGAGGTTTTGGTTTTTTTTTTCAAATTTGGTTTTTTTTTCGAGTTTTGTTTAAATTTCGGGGAGGGGGTTTTGGGTTTTGTTTAAATTTCAGTATTTTTTTTGTTTTTTTTTTGTTTTAGATTTTTATTTATTTATTTCAGGATTCGGTAAGGGTTTTTTTTACTTTTTTTCAGAATTTGGGTTGTTTAATTTTTCGTTTTTTTTTGGTATTTGGATTGTTTTTGAGGGATTTGGGATTTAATTTTTTTTTTCAGAACCTGAGTTGTTTTTTAATGTTCAGGTTTCAGAATTTTTTTTCCGGGTTTCAGTGGATTTTTTTTTTGCTTTTTTTTGGCATTAGGTCTTTTTTTATTAGTCTTTTTTCAGAATTTAATTTATTTATCATCTTTTTTTTCGATATTCAGATCATTTTTGATAAGAATTCAGATTTTTTTTTAAATTAATTATGTCATTAAATTTGATTAAATAAAATAACTCAAATTAACTAAAATACAGAGTTTAATTTTAAGCTTAATTCAGATTTTTTATTTTGTTTAAGTTTTTTGGTTTTTAATTAATTTAATTAATAGTTAAATCATAAAATTAATTAATTTAATTAAAAAGTTTAATATTTAATTAATATATTTAATTTAACTTTTAATTTAAAAAATTAATTTAAATTTAAATTATAATTGGCTTGATTTTAAAATCAAAAAATTATTTATTTTTATATTTAATTAAATTTTCTAAATTAATAATATAAATATAATTTATAATATTAATTTAGAAAATTTAATTATTACTTGAATAGTTTGTACTAATCAAAGATTATAGTTTTTGAAATATTTATTAGAAAATATATAGTATACATTGATTGTCCTTTAGTATTAGAGCTGTATGAGCTGAAAATATGATATAAAAAGACAACCTATCGATAATAATATAAGTTTTACAGGACTTTTTAATCTTGAATTATCCAAGTATACTTTCTTCTCAAAAATTCTAAATAAAAAATCTTAAAATATCTGATTGTTCTATTTACTGTATCTTTGCAAAATAGACTTATTTTTTGACAAAAATGAATTAGCAAATTAAATGATTTAAATTAATTGTAGGATTTTTACCTCCTGATTAATCCCACCCAATATATAGGTCCAGTCACAAAGTATAAGTTCATATAACTATATTAGAAGTAATAGACTATAATTAAATTATATATATAATAGATTGTTGATAATAATTATAAATTAAGTTTAATAAAATCATATATTTAATGTTTATTTGCTAAAAAAAAAAATTAAATTATTTTTATTTTTAGATTTTTTAAGGGAATGGGCACTTAATGCCATGGTTTTTATTGAATTTATATTCGAACCATAGCCAATTAGCATTGTGAGGAAAGATACAAGCGGAATAATGAAGTAGATTAAATAGTGCGCATAGAGAAATTGAAACCTTGTTTACTTTATTTGATACATTCGATTGGGCTAAAATATACAAAATAATAGAAATCTTGAATAAATAATGAATATTGCCTGTATAAAAAATTTCTAATCAGGCTGAACACGTCTCTAATTTATCGTCCGTCACTATACAGTATATTTACTTTGAGATAACGCAAAATTGGATCGAAGTCAAAATTTAGCACTCTACTTTAGATGTCGTAGTGACATCTTAAATTACTTCAAAAGTTCTCTTACAATATATTTAATTTTTTGACAAAACATTTTATATCTTCGAGGTCTATTGGCGTATCAAGATTTATGAAAAAAATTAGTTGTTGCAATAGATTTGAATTCAATATAATTGCATTAGTCAACCTGATCTCTCTAAATATGTTCAGATCCATCGGGTCCATCTTGTCCAAGAATTTATTACAGAATTGTGATAATACGAAACTGATTTGACTTAGGTTAAAATATGGTTGTCTTTGACACGCTTCACTGAATGTTTCCAATGCTAATCTCCAATCTCCCTTTCTCTGATAGCAAAACCCAAGTAAAAGGTATGGTATGGCGGTTTCATCAGATGATAATAGCAGAGAAAATTCTTCCAAGTTCCGCATTTCATTTTGAGTATGTCCTAAAACGCTTGCGCTAGTTATTATAATATATCTCGCTAAAAATTTAATGGGAATGTCTTTTATTTTATCATTTTCCTTTAATAACATCTGGAGTATTATAGGTAGAACAGGAATTTCCGATTTTTCAAAAGATTCGTTGACGATTGAACTCACTGGCAATCTTTGTATTGCATTTTCAGCATGAATAATTGCTTGTTCGTGATAATCATTAACAAAGTAAGCAATGGCAAGACTTAAACGCACATTAGCTGAGTCATAAATAGTAATAGCGTTTTGATATTTCTTAAAAATTTCCTCCTTCATCTTGTTAGTCATATTTCCCTTTTGTTTGAACTGAATAAATTCAATTTTAGCTATTCCTGCTAACGCAGCACCCTTCATTTCTTGATTGAAAGTTTCTTCAAAAATTTCCTGGAAAATAATTTTTCCCTGGTCAAGGTTTCCATTACGAAACAACCTAACACCTTCAATCGACTTCTGAATCGAGCGCAAAATGTTTTCCACGTTTCCAGTGCCGGTTAACGCGTCTGATGCCTGCTTAAATATGTAATGATTATTTGGATAAAAGGCTGCAAGCAAACGAATAGCCTTCTCGGCAATCTGACGTGCCTGCAAATTTAGTCTTTTAGCGTTACTGACTGTTTCATCTGAAATATCAGTCGAATCAAACATATTCAACACAGTGTTAATGGACTTCTTTGAGAGCGCCATTCCTGTATTTGTCAAAACTAGTCCAACATTAAAGGCATATGCCTGAGTCCCTTCCTGATAATGTTCTCCTTGCAAAGATTCCCACTGCTGATATATTTCCAGGGCCTTGTCAGGATTCTGAGTAATATAAGCATTAATTAATTTCGACAATATGACTTCTTTAACATCAGGTCTATTGAGGCTATGACTGTTATAAAAATCCAGGCACTCTTCGAGTAATTTCACGAAAAGAGAATTGTTAAACCATACATGTCCTGTCGCAAAGTTCATCATGGCATTGACTATATCTACTTCTTTTTTAGTTTTCTCTTCAGACGTTAAGACATCATAATTTGAATCGTAATCTTTTTTTAATATTTCCAAACCCTTTGCGCTATACTCCCTTTGTTTAGCAGTATTTTTGATATCTCCAAATGCGCGAGCGAGATTAAGTAAGCTCATTGCCAGGAAAGGACTATCGCTCTCGTATAAACGAGATTTGATGATATGAGCCTCTTGGAGAAGTTCTAAATGCCGAGAGTAGTTTGAGGCATTTCGTTCAGCAAAAGAAAGCAAGGTAATAATTTCCGCATACACTTCGGTATTTTTATCCAAGTTACCATACAAATCAATCAATAAATTTAAATAAATTTTTTGATCAGATCTGTGAGAGTCGTCACAGATACTACTCAGGTGATAAAGATGTTCGATGACAAAACCCCTAAAATTTTTATTTATCTCGCTATGCTGGTTACTCTTTATAAGTTCATGGAATTTGAACAGGGCCCTTCGGTAGATTTCCATCAGCATTGCCAATTCTGAATTGACCTGACTAGAACATTTTAGATGCGAGCAACATGTTTCAATGATTTTCTGTAAAACCAACGCTTGCGAATCAATCCATCCCAT